TCTGTAACATGCCTTACGGCCCCCCACCCCGCAACCTCAGTGCTTTTGGTAAATAAATCATGACACTTGTTTCTGCCAAGCCCAGGTGGGGCCTCTTCTCACCCTCCTCCAGCAGCCACAACTGAAGGATCAGAGACAGCATGGAAAATGAAACCAGTGCACCACTGGACTTTCCATTGTGGGATGCTAAAGTTCTGGGGTAGGGTTGTGCAATAAAATGTATGACACTCAGTTACATTTGAATTTCAAGTAAATAGGGAATGATTTTTTACCAAAGTATATCCAAAATATTGCATGGGACATACTTTTGCCGAAAAAATTTGTTTACTTCAAATGCAAAGTTAATTGGCATTCTGTATTTTTGGTTGCTAAATTTGGCAACATTTTTATGGAATTCTCATCGGGGTGGGAGAGTTTGGGGATCAACCTCCAGAAGCCACCAGAGATGAGCATACACTCGGGCGATGGTCTCAGCCTGTCAATCAGTGTAGCCATGTGCAGCTGGTAGCCCTCTGTCCAGAGCCATTTCCTCACTGGACCCAGTTCCCTGAGTGCCTTCATGGGGTCTAAGTGGGTAGGTACTTGTCCTAATCATGGCCTTATTGGTTCCTGGAGAGGAAGAGCCCTGGGGAGCCCCTGGGTGCTTCTGGACCCCAGGTGTTCCTCGTGCCTCACAGAGCCTGATGCCAGTGGAGACACACACGACAGGGGCCCTGATAAGTGTCTCAGTTTCCCTGTCTTGAAAAAGCATTTATTCTTTCTGAACTAGATGAACAGGACTGTCACACTGTCTTCAGTTCATATCTTATTTTACTCCCTTCCTTTCTCCCTCCTGCCACATTGATATGTCCATTTTATAACGGACACATTATAATATCCTTGCCATATTAAGCTGGGATATTCATACACGATATTCTACTCCTCATACTTATGGGACAATTTTTACTTATTAGTGAGAATTAGCATCAGGAAAAACTAGGCCAATATTACTATAAATATTGATTGAAATTGACATCCTTCTTGAGGTTCAATTGGAAAATCAATATTTTATTATATATTTCTCGTGCTAATCTGCTCGTAGAATAGATGAGGTCCTTTCATTTTGTACCATAGTTAGTAGTTAGTGGTGAAAGTTCTTTGCTTATGTTTGTACTTTAAATGACCTATTGTATTCCCGGATATTTATATACTGTCATTATTGTTACTGCCATTACAGTTTAGACTTTACCTTTTGAAGATTAAATCATGTGTCAGGGTTCCTCAGTCTGAGCACTATTGACGTAATGGGTCAGAGAATTCTATGTCATGGGGGCCTGTCCTGTGCAATCTAGACTGTTTAGCAGCATCCTTGGCCCCTACCCTCTACATGCCAGCAGCACTCCCCAGTTCTGACATCCAAAATATCTCCAGACAGACATTGCCTATGGTCCCATGGTAGGCAAAACTGCCTCTGTTTGGGGAACACTGCCCTCTGTGAGTTTATCTGATCGTCAGGAGGAGGAGATCTAACTTGTGTTTCCCACGTTGGAAGAGATGATTTCTGCTTGCTCATCAACCATTTAAGTCCTAGTTTTACTGCAAGATCATACACGTTTGAAATTTAGCTATGTCTATCTTGCTTTGCTCTAAATAAAAACTCTTAACTCTCTGATAATTTTTTTTTAGAGCGTGGCTCATTTTCTTCCAGTACTTCAGATGTATGTGAATGCATATGGAGTTTCTTAATGAATGAGAGCAAGCATATTGCCACTGAATCAACTTCAGTAAAATGCTGGCTTTGTGATTTAGTAATGCACTTAGACATGGTTCTTCTGTACAATTGTAACAGGCATATAGGATTTTCATCTGCAATTTCTGTTGTTCTCGCTTTTTTTTTTGTTATTAAGTTAAAAGAGCAAAACTAATGCCAAGTACAAAGTTAGAATAGTATTAGTGATGTAACTACATAAAAATTGAGTAAATCTGCAAAAACATTTCTTCCAGGTCATTTCTTAGTTTAGTCATGAAGTGTCCTTATTTATTAATGAATACCATAGTAGGCAATCCTACAGGATTCAGAATCTATGAGGATGAGTGAGCACGAGTGGCAGTGACTCACAGCTTTGAATTTGGTGACTTACTCTGTGTTAACACTTTTATTTCAGGCACTTTCTATATTAATATCCAAATCAATGAGCAGGGAAATAGGTTTTAGTCTCCAAGTAAAAGTTTGAAATTCTTCATAATTTTTCCTTTCTGAAGAGGAAATGTAGTGGGGTTTTTTTGGTCAGTTTTCTCCAATTCATTTTTTCTAGAATGATCTTTTGGGCTTTGAAGTTTATTATAGGGCATGATACAAATGCCAAAGTACAGCAAGCAAGGCTTGAATGGAGTAGAATCTTTGGAAAAACACCCTCTGTGGGGCGATTGCTTGGCTGGGAGGTGGAGTAGGTGCAGAGAGTTTCCAGACACCATGGTGAACAGCCCTGGCTCCCAGCAAGACTGGAGAAGGGATCCTGCTCTGATGTACTGCTATGGGGCTGCAGCACCGTGAGTGGCTTCCTTTGCTAGTCTAGAATGCTCCCCAGTCTAGCCAATACAGAATACGGCACGAGAAACTGAACATGAATGGCCTAGGTATGAGTAGATAAGTTGAAGGGGCAAAGAGAAAATGATGTGGAAAATATCAAAAAGAGCAAGAATGGACAGGTGAAAACGGGGGCCATATTTTTGGGAAAAATATTACTTTGACACCTAACATTTTATGGCGTTGAAATTTTCTTACGTGGTTAATAGCCAATATTAAACAAGTTGCAATAAAATTGGTCCACTGATACTTCTTTATAAATTTCTATCATTCTTTGGAAAGCAACATGGTCATTAAAAAAAAAAGCCTTCATTCTGTTTGATTTAGTAATCTTATTTCTGGAACTTTTTCCTAAAATCATAAAAAAGGAGAAGGAACAAATCTAATGTAAGATAATGTTCACTGTAGCAATATTTGGTAAAGCAAACATTGGAAGGAATCTAGATGTCCCCAAATTAGAGAACCAGGAGATACGGCCACTTAATGGAAAATGAAATCACTTTTAGAAAATATAATCATGAAGACTATAAACTGCATGGGAAGATGTCTGCCACACGAGCCAGAAAATCAGACACCGAATTACATGGACCTCACAATGGTAATTCCAACGAAAGGCATCTGTACACATAGCAGAAACTGGAAAGTTGTGTTTTAGACTATGGGACTAGAGACATTTTTACCTGTGTTGTGCATTCAGCATTTTTCTTATACTATCGTGATGTGTTTTATGTGATTAAAAAACAATTTAGAAGTATTGTCAGCAGAGTTAAGCAATCAGCCAGTCACTCAAGGTTTCAGAATTTCTCTGGGTCTGTTGTATGACAATTCAGCATAACAGGAGGCATCAAGATAAAAGAAGAAAGGAAAGAACCAACAGGGATTACAGGATAAAGTCAGAGTGAAAACTACTCCATCAGCAGGGATAAGATGCAACCGGGGACCTGAGGGCTCCTGGGGCCTGAAGCTCATTCAGTTTTGGAGAACTTCTTTTAAAAAACACTAAACAAAAAACAAAATTAAGAAAAGAGAATTATGTCCTGAGCCTCAGAGGGGCCCATGCGAGTGGAAGACCCTGACTCCTAAGTTCCTTTAGCTGCAGGTGACCCTGCCTTCAGGAGCAGGCTGACGACTGCCAGGAGGAGTTGTTGTGCTGTGTGTGTGGACTTAAGCTGCATTCTTCTGTCACTGCTTCTCCAAAAGAAAGAAGTGAAAAAATTTTTTTAAAGAAAGGAAGCAAAAATGTGAGAGAAGTACATTGCCCAGCTCCACTTAGAGGATGCCATGTCTCAGCTGTGGGTCTCATACACCCCGGGGTGGTGCACGGACCTCAGGCCTAGCTCCTTTAGTGAGTTTTCATGAGGTTCATGAAACCAGATATGCTGGCTTCCCTGAACCCTTCTGTTTTTTCCAAGTGGCCCACGGATTCTCTCGTGCCTGGGAGGGCTTCCCTCCGTCCCAGGGGCCCTAAGTGATTGAGAGAGAGACTGTGTGGGGAGGACCTAGCACTGGGCACGAAACAACCGCATCAAAGGCCTTGCCATTTTGGGGGAGGGGAGAAGAATGTAGCTCAAAAAGAAGAGGGAAGGAAGGAAGGAAAGAGAGAAGGAAGGGAGGGAGGAAGGAAGGGAGGGAGGGAGGAAGGGACGGAGGGAGGGAGGAAGGAAGGGAGGAAGGAAGGAAAGAAAGAAGGGAGGGAGGAAGGAAGGGAGGGTGGAAAGGAGGAAAGGAGTGAAGGAGGAAGGAAGGGAGGAAGGTTGGGAGGGAGGGAGGAAGTTGTCAAGATCAAATGAGATTGTGTCACAAGTTGAGGGCTGGGATTAACTCAACGCTCGGCCTTCCTGAGGGGACCCCCTTCAAAACACCTGGGCACAAGAACTGAATGAAAGTTTGCTTTCACATCAAGCGTATTTATCTTTTATTGCAAAGCCAAAAAGAACTTCTAAATATCCACAATTTTTTAATTACCTATACTTCTCTTTCGTCCCCAAAATTATACACGTAATCGAAGGTGGAGTAGACACCAACTCTGTCCTCTTTCTTCCTTTTGCTGTTATTCCTCAGTTTTCTGTCTCATTTTTCCTTTAAAAAAATTCTGCTTTTCTGATTCCAGCTTTGGTTTGTCTGAACTAACCAGCCATGGCCTATAATGATGGACCTGAAAACTAACAGCCTCCTTTCTTGGCTCTAATCAGAACCTGAATATTTCTGACAAAAAGAGCTCTTCAGGGGCCAGCCTGGTGGTGCAGCGGTTAAGTTTGCATGTTCTGCTTTGGCAGCTGGGGTTACGCTGGTGTGGACCTACGCACCACTTGTCAAGCCATGCTGTGGCAGTGTCCCACACATAAAGTAGAGGAAGATGGCTACAGATGTTACCTCAGGGCTAATCTTCCTCAAAAAATAAAAATTAAAAAAAATAGCTAATCAAGGATCTTACCAGTTCAGCATACTTCTTGAATAAAAAATCAAGCTTTTCTTCAGGGGTTTGCAACTTGTTCAGATTTTGCATTAGTAGGTTGGCTTCTTTGCCTTAAAAGAAAACAAAAATCATAAAGATATTTTTGAAAGTAAGTGTTGAACTTGAAGTCAGATTATACGGGCTGGAATCTCAAATTGTCTGCTTGCTAATTACCATCTAACTTTAGCCAAGCCACTTAATCTCTCAGAGCCTCAGATATAATTTTCCTCTCCTCTGAGAAAAGATGACACTTCTCTTACAGAGGAAGTGAGGATTGGCTGAGAAGTCTGGGAAAATGTGTGGTACAGTGTTGGGCTCATGCCAGATTCTCAACAAATGTCTGCTGTGACAGTAGTCCCCAAATTTTCATCCCAAGAATCCATTCTTGTTACTTCCCTCCATAGTCTAAATATTCAAAATAATTGTGAATATTTTGAAAATATGACACATGGAGTTGCCAGAATTCCAGCACAAAGCAGAGAAGCTTGACAGTCTGTCCATCTTTTTGTTTGTTTGTCTGTTTTTTTCTTTTAGTAGCTCTTTCCTCTTTTTGGGGGGGGGGGGGAATAATTCACTTCTGTGTATGAGCCTGTTCCATGAGATTTGGGTGGGAATAACTGATCATATTTCCCACAAGCAGAGACTAAAGTCAGTGTGGAGGGAAGATGGAACCCAGACGCGCAGTGCCTTTGCGACAGGACTCTTCGTGTCTCTGTGGCCAGTCTGGCCTCCAGGGCCCTCCTTTCTCCCATTCCTGCGTTACTGCTCACCTATCTGTGACGACCTCTCTGTCTAATCAGAGTAGGGAGGTCAAGTCACACAGCGAAGCCCATGTTTCCTGATATAAATTTGCTTAAGAATATTAACAATTCTGACAACCTTTATCCCAACAGTCATTGTCCCTTTGCTGGAATATTTGCTTTCATCCTGGAGAGGTAGATATATCACGGAATTAAAGTTGCCATGGAATACAGGCCATAGGACACACTTGGACAGTCATGCCTCGCTTAATGACCAGGAAGCCTTCCAAGAAACTCATGGTTAGATGATTTCGCCATTGTGGGAATATCACTGCGTGCACTTACACAAACCTCAGTGGTACAGCCTACCACACACCTAGGCTGCATGGTACTAATCTTATGGGACCACTATTGTACGTGCTGTCTGTCATTGACCAAAACATCGTTATGCGGCACGTGACTATACTAAAACATGATGCATTATTTATCCGAAATTCAAATTTCGTTTGCTTTCCTGTATTTTTATTTGCCAAATTTGGTGACTCTAATGGCATCAAAGAATTTTAGGTCTAGAAGGAACTTAAAAGAACATCCAGACAACTGGTTAGTTTTATAGATTAGGAATCTAAGGCCCAGAAAAGCACCAAGTTACATAGTTAGCACTGTCAGAGGCAGGCTTGACTCCAAAGTGTGTCTGCTTGCCCGAAACCACTAAGTCCCTCCACTCCCATGCCGAGGAAATCTAGAGAAATCAAAGGAAACTTTTTTGAAAAAAATGACCTCATTCCTAATAGCTGGTGGTGTCTATCTTTGCCCAGGGAGTCAGTTCAGATTAGAGACGTGGCCCAAGACAGGGGAGAAGGTGGGGCCAGCCGTCCCCCTCCAGCTCTCCAAGTGGCCCAGCACGCGGCCTGGAGACTGAGCCTCAGGGCTGCCCCGCGCCCCCGGGCCTGTGCTGCAGCTCTTTCTCCAGCAGCAGGGATGGACGCGCCCCGGTCACCCTTGTCCAGCGTCTGTGGAAGGTGCCACATGAAGACCGCCCTCCTGAGCCAGAGGGTCATCTATTAACGACAATAATTTAAAGACAAGAGATGTACTGCTGATCAGATTTGGGTCAGGACCCAGCACAGAGCTTGGCCCATGGCAAGTGCTCAGTGGATGTTGGTAATAACGGAACAAGACACAGCCGACTGGTGCACACGCCGTCGTGTAAATCAAACGGCTCCCGTCCTGGAGACGGCGCCCGCCCGCGCCCTGTGCTGCGCGCCGTGTCCTTCTCGGCTCTCGGGGGCGGAACCCCGGAGGGAGGCCGGTGGTCTCTTTTCTCCACATGAAGTATCTTCTCTCCTTTTTGTTAACTGTGAGAAGAGGGTTTTTAAAAAACTGTCACTCTCACTGAGGTCTCCTTCTACTCCCATATTCTGTTATTTTGTGTAGATTAACATTCAGGTGCATCAATCTATCCTTCAAAAATGAGTTCCCCTTTCAACAAAAAACCCAAGAAGTTGGAGAAAGGCAGGTGTGGCAGCCATAGATATGTGTCATCAGAGAGCTTAGTTTTTACGCTTCCACTGACTTTGCTGGACTGCAGCGCTGTGTGGGCTTACTGTGGAGGCAGGGAATGGACGAAGAGACTTGCTCATCATCTCAGAAAGGCTGTAATTACAATTCCACGGGAATGGGGCCATTTGGCGACAGTGTCAGACACAAGAGGAAAAATCGACTTCACTGAGGGACGTTTTATTGGGAGAGGATGACCTGCCTTCTTCCTAATGTGTCGTTCTAAAGCAATGTGGTTGTGAGATTAGTCGTAAAGCAAGGGACAGAACTGAAGTCCCGTTAAAGCTGGGGAGGCATGTGGTGGGCACAGGGCACCACTTGGCCAGATGCTCGGTTTGGCCTCTACACGAACGTGGAACCACCTGTGCAGCGAGAGCAACCCTGTGATGCGCGGCTGCGGCCACCGCATAGTTGTCGACTGCGGGGGTGTCGACTATAAAGGAATTATTTTTACGTCAAAGAAATTAAAAACCTTAAGTGAAAACAATGAAATTAGCCACAGAAATGTGGACTACGATTTTTCTTAAACTTTTAGCTTAGCGATAACTTTATAATAAGTTTGGTGAAAAAATATGCAGATTTAATGAGCGTTCCAAACTATGCTTTTTTTCTTCCAAAATTACCTTTTAGAACTTTGGAGCTAAAATTTGGTCGCGGATACACACCTGCCCCTCTCTTCTCCCTTCGTGATTTCCGTGTGTTCTGGCAGAAGCTTACAGCAGGAAAAGATTGTGGATGTTCTGTTTCAAGCATTAGACCCAGATTCATATTTCAGTGTGAATTTTGTTTTCTTTTTTAATAGTTTAAAAATAATAAGTGTGATACAAATAGTTCCTGAGCATCTTTTAAGGGAAATAAGATGCATGTACCTAGAGGATAGGAAGGAGAGCAGAGTTAAATTCACCCTGAACCTGGGTTCTAGAAGTGACCCTGCCATCAACTAGTTCAGTCACTGCTTTTACGGACGTTTAAAACCTCTGGGTTTCAATTTCCCTGTCTATGAAATTAGTAGCTTGATTAAATGTATTCTGAGTTCAGCCCCTGAGATTTGATGATTCCATGACTGAAACAGCTTTAATCACTTTTAGCTTGATTTAGATAACAGCGACAACAAAATTAACATTGTTTGGATGGTATATTTGTCTTCCTAAAATGTTTTGGTCTGCTTTTCGAATTTGTGAAGAGTCCCTGACCCCTCACTGTCCCCTCTCATGGTTGTGGTTTTTGTTTGTTTCTCTTGGTTTTATTGGTTCCATCAGTTTTGAAAATACTATCTGCCCCATATTTTCTAGTTGTATTGTTTTCCAATTGGCTGACATTTTATTTCTCTCGTGTTTTAGTGGCCTTGCTATGTGTATTTGGAACTTTGGCCTCTGACTCTGTTCGGGGTGGATCTGGACTTCTTATTAGGTCGGTTGATGATGTGTTTAAATTACTGGAAATTTCTGGGCTATAACTATACAGAAAACTTTCTTAACAAGAAGATCTTGGAGTCTAATAATGAAGAGATTATTCCAGGGAAAACAAAATAAAGCAAAATCTTATAATGAAAAAGAAAAACATCAGGAAGAGTAGGAGGTTGTTAATGCACCCATTCCTGACTCTGGTCAGAATCGAGTACTAATCATTTTGCTCAAGACATTTTTCTGTTCCCTTCCACCTCCTTCTCTCAACCCTCCTCTCCTTTCAGGATCTGGCCTAAGTTCTAGCTTCCCTAGCAATCTGCTCATGAACCTTTCAGCCTCTGCTGATTCCTCTTTCCCCTGAATTCTTCTGGTCTCTCGCCATCTCTTCCAGAAAGTTTAACACTTGTATCAAAGCAACAGACTATTTCCCTCTCAGGATGAAACTAGGCAAACAGGCTAAAATGGATGAAGCAGACTATCTGGGAAAGTGACCATTCTGAGGCAGATTAAGTAAATGGCTGAAGACATTTCAGAAGACCAATGTCCTACTCAAGGTGGCCCTCAGAGGCAGAACTGAAACTCACCTGTAACTGGAAAGGTGAAACCCCTTAACTGAGCTATAGCAAACACTCCTCAACAATGGGTCGATTGTTTTTATATACCTTCAGTCCTGTAATATTAGTGAGTTCAGGTCTGCCCCTTGCTTCCTTTATAACTAATTTTACAATCACATTAACTTGTTGAGTAACCCTTTCTGCAAACTCTTAAACTCTCTAGGCTTCAATTTCCCTGTCTATAAAATTAGTGGATTGACCAGATGGATTCTGAGCTCAGAATGGACCTGTGGATAGGCTTCATTTTTCTCCAGGCTTTTCAATCAGTTCTCAATCTAAAACTCAGAAGGTATATTACATTTTATCATTGTTTTGTGCTTATGACTATGTGGTGCTTGGGAAGCCCAGAGAATGTTGTCAGAGAAGTGATTAATGAGACACTTGTGAGCCTGGAAGATGGAATGGGAAGCAATGTCAACAGAACGTGTTGTGGTGCCGTCTAACACAGAACCTGTTTTTGTTTCCTTCAGTTCAGATGCAAAGGAGAAAGTGACTCTTTCCCCCAATGTGCTCTGATGTATAATGTGTTGATTGTGGGAGGATGTGTAGCTTCTAAAGGAAACACAGGCCTTGAGTGCCTGGGTTGTAGAGATAGTTCCCAAATATTCAAAGAAGTGAAAGAAGGAGATTTTTGGTCCAATAAGTTTTGGAAATGTTATAAACTATGCCCATCACTATTGGAGATTTTCATTGTTGTATATTAAAGGTCAGAGAATTTTGGTAGTGAGGAAACTCTAACATTGTCTGAAATCCCAAACGCCCAAAGTATATACTTTGGAAACTTTTGGGTTAGAGGGTCAGAATATTTCAGCATCTCAAAAATACCAGTAAAGCAACTATTATCGTGTAAATGTACAAACAATTAAAGACTCATCTTTGATCAAGTGTGTAAACAAAGTCTAAGGATGTATCTTCAGGTACAGGTTGAATGACTTACTAAAATTCTACACAGGTCCATAGAGGTCCTAAAGGAAGACTACAGCTGGTACTTTATATTTTCTCCAAAAGCGTAGAGGAAGCTCTTTCTGAAGCACTGGAACTGTTGCTTCCACAATCTATTTGTGTCAAAATTACCCAGAATGACTTGGCCCCACTCTAGACATAGCAATTCTGAATCTCTGTGTTCAGGAACAGCATTTTTGTCAAATTCTCTATTTGATTCTAATGCATAAAGTTTGAAAATCGTTGGTCTAGACCATGGTACAGTGCCATCTAATTGATAAAGAGCCAAGAAGCCTGCTAAAGTCACTGCAGACAACTGAAATAATATTGTCATATTTAGATTAGACTAAAAATGTTGTTTTGGGCCTGGCCTGGTGGTGTAGTGGTTAAGTTTGCACACTCTGCCTTGGTTGTCTGGGGTTCACAGGTTCAGATCCTGAGCACAGACCTACACACCACGAATCAAGCCATGCTGTGGCAGCATCCCACGTACAAAATAGAGGAAGACTGGCAACCGATGTTAGCTCAGGGCCAGTCTTCCTTACCCCCACCCAAAAAAGTTTTAATTCATAAAGCAGCTGAAATAGTACAGTGGTTAGAAGAATATGGTGATGGAATTCAGAGAATGGCATGGAAGGGCTAACAGCTTACACACATGTAATTAGAGTGGACCCACCTGGGCCTTCTGATGCACAAACATTGGTTCTGATCAAACACATTCAACTGAAATTTGGCAACCTGTAGATAGTGGCAGAACTAGAGCTGTGGAAGTTTTCCTTTCTCTAACATTTCTTTGGTTATTGGTAATAGTAAGGTTAATACAGAAATAATATTTGAGATAACTCAGGGAAGATAGAGTAGAACTCAGACTTGGTCATCTTGAAGTCTACCTCTACTTTCTTCTTATCCATGCCCTCAATACGATACACACAAACGCCTGTTCAGAAGCAGTTCTAGAGTGACAAGCAAAACAACTTTCCTGGTTAGGTACACTTGAAATCACTCACCTCTGCCATGTGGTTTTGTATTGTCTTATGCAAAGTTTAACAATGACGAATGCAAGGGGATATTTCTGAGATGTGTTTGACAGAAATGGAAAAATAGCTCTGTAACACAGGGCAACTTCATTCTCTTTCCCAGAGTTCCAGAACACTGGAATGATTCTAATCTTGCGATTTGGAACTTGGTATTAGCTGGGTTATTTTAATCTTTACACTGGATGGGTCAAGTATGCTATTTGAATGTGCCTTTCAGCCCTTCTTGAAAGCATTGCCAGCAATGGGTTTTAAGCATCATAGTGATGTCCTATGTCAGCACAGACATACTTCTGGATTTACAAATAGCCTGTTACTGGAGTCTGAACCCAGTTCTGACTCCAGTGCCTATGATCCTTCACTCTGCCACACTGTTTTCCAGAAATGAGTAAGACGTGGTCCCTGTCCTTGATAGATTCTTCATCCAGCTTGGGAGGCAGATATATAAATAAACAATTACTGCAGAAAATGTAATGGAGAGCTAAGGAAGGTGATACTTACTCTCCCTGCGCACCTTGGAGAACGTATCACATAGGAGGTGGCATTTGTAGTGAGTCTTTCAGTGAAATTCACCAGGGAAGGCAGACAGGGGGACTTACATGGGCAGTAACATGCTTTCACTTGTAGCTAAAAAATTAACTCTGTCACAGCCATGTTTGATGTTACAGTCCTACGTGTTCTCCCGACAGTTTCCAGTGCCTGTTCCAGCACTTATCCTGTGTAACAACTAGTTTGCATGTCTGTTTCTCTCTCCATACCTAGAGCTCCTTAACCAAGGGTCATGACAACTTATTTATCTTTGTGTGCCTAGCACAGTGCCTGAAAAGACTACGCATTAATGAATATGTTGCTGAACCAAGGAACTAACGAGAGTAAAAATATTTTCTGCAATTTTTGACATTCTGTAATTGATACATTTCTGAAGTTTTGTTAAATAAAAAATACTTTACATAGCAATAGAACGTACTACTAAGTGATCTAATAGATAATCATTCTATATACAGAACCATCCCTATATTTATATTTTGTTTAAATCCAGATTCCACTAGCTTTGCTTTAAACAGTTCCAGTTTCCTTCATCTGCTCATTCATTCATCCTAACAACCAATATTTATTGAACATCTAGCCTCTGCCATCCACCTTCCTGGACACTAGGCATCCAGTGATGTCCAAATACACACAGTCCCTGCTCTGGAGATAAAAGAGCTGGTGGGGAAGACATGCATGAACCAAATAATCACAGAAGTAAATGCACACTCTCAAATACTGATAAATGCTAGGAAGGAAAGATGCATGGTGCAATAGAAACAGAAAACAGGAAGACTATATCTAGGGGTGAGCTAAAAAGGTGCCGTTTGAGCTGTGAGCTGAATGATGAGTTAAGTGCTGGAAGGGCTGAACACGGGAATGGGCAGGAATTTCTAAGTAGAGAAAAAAGGATAGACCCAGGCCCTGTGAAGGATGGAGGATGATGTTCAAAGATCTGAAAGAGAAGGTCAGAATGTCTAGCAACTAGGCAGTGGTGGTGACAGGGGCAGAGCGTTCAGGAAGGGGATGTTGTGGGGTAAAGTGATGGGAGATAAAGCTGGAGAGATGCTTAGGGCCTGGAAGACCATGTGAAGAATTCTGGTCTTTGTCCTAAGAGCTATGGGAAACCACTGAGGACAGAGGGTAGGTGTGTAACATGCTGCAAGTCCACTTTAGCTCTGTCAAGGGGGTGTGTCTGGGGACAAGGACAGTAAGAGAAGATGTAGGGAGATCCTGAAGGAAGCTATTATAGTAATATAAATATGACATGTGGCTTCTAGTAAAGGTTGGAGGAAGTTTCCCTTTTAGGAATAATTCAAAGAAAAGTCATACATTAGAACATAACTACTTGCCTAATCCTTTTAGGATTTTCTTTTCCAATTTTTGCTCTTTATTACTGACAGGCTCTTTGGCTGTGGGTGGCTCTCCAGAAGCCAGGGGTTCTCTCTCTGTCTCTTCAGTGGCCTCCTCAACATCCGCATCCTCGTTGTCAGGTGGTTCTGGGTTCTCAGGCTGCCCCTTGACCTTGGTGGGACCCTCTTTCCCTGCTGGGCCAGCAGCAGACCCGTAGGTGTTGATGATGTCTTCTAGTTGTTGATTCAACTCTTCAGAGATATCATGAGCTGCCTGTTGGCGCTGCACGTCTGCTTCCTCCTCTGGTGGTTGGAGTGAAGTGGAGGAATCCTGATTATCTTGCTTCTCCAGGCCATTTTGACTGGGTAATGATGAACTGTCACCTGGAGGTGTCGACTGGGGTTCCCCCGAGAGCTGCACAGAGTGATGAGTCTCCATACTGGGAGTGGAATCTAGTGGGAAGCACAGTGAGGTTTATGTAGTTAACCCAGTTACACGTAAATGGTAAAGAGATCTCCACATGGATACCTTCCAGTTACAGTTGCTCACAGAGAGCGAATGTACTTCCACAAACCATCAAAATTGCAATTAGGTAAGAACAGTGGAATGCCATTTTTCCAAATCAAGTCATACTGTTAGCATATTTTTGGGTTTGGTTTTTAAATTCCAGTAGTATCTCCTATTATTGACATGAACACAGTAATTCAAGATTTGTTTTTTATGGACGTGTTTGTCATTTTGGTTAGAATGGCCAATTTGTGTTACCATTCTCTTATATAATTGTGTGTCGATTTACAATCATTGGAAGTACATGGATGTATATATTTAAAGTGTTTAAATTTTAAATATTTTGTTTTCAAAGTTAAAACATTTAATGCAAGAACCATTGGATTTACTAAAATCATTCATAACAATAACATTCCTAAACTCTATTTTAATCTATAAATAAAGATTTGATTAATATGAATACGCTGATGTAAATGAATTATTATACTGGCTATAGGAGATACTTTCTTGCTTTTCTGGTATTTTCCTTTTCCCAGATAAGTAACTGTAATTATCAATGAGGAAACGCTATTCTTGAGGTTCAAACTAGCATCATTTTTGGAAGAAGACAGAAAGTGAGGGAAAGTATAAGTTAGTACACAAACTAGTGTAAAAACATAGTGGTGCTCATAATCATAACTCCTTGAACTTAAATAACATATCTTTTGTTCCAATATAAAAACTGACTTTCCTTAGAAAAAAACATATTACAGCTTTCTCTTCTCAGTCAAGAAGCTCTAGGATAACTGAGTTTTCAATAAATAGCAATGTTTAATGAACAGGGAGCGGATGAATGAGGGAAATAGCCCACATATACTGTGGGCTCTTTGGAAATAGGGGGTGAGGCATGAGCTGAGTCAAGGGTTCCAGGGTTTGTGGCTATTATTATCATGTCTAGGGTTGCAAGAGATTTGGTTTGTGCCTGTAAGTTATGGTACATTTTATTTGTAAGTGATATCTAATGATGCTGCTGCTAATTAGCAGCATAAAAATATGACGGGGTCCTCTTAACACACAGGTTTTGATGTTGTGGTGGCATGAAAGCGAAAACAAAAACACACTGTTCTATGTACGGCACAGCTTCCTCCCCCCCGGCCTCAGGCCAGTTGATGTCAACTGCTTGAACGCCAACATGAACAGAAAATTCAACATGTAGACATTGCCACTCATGGCGCTCAGCAAGTACACATTAACTTCTAAGGAAGTACTTTTTTTCTCACTCATTTTAATTCACCAACTTTATTATCAAATGAATCAGTAAACAACTTCTCTTTCTTCATCACTGGAATTTCTTTATCACGACCCCTACTTGTTGGGCTCATTCATCTATATATAACTTATGCCTCCACTGAACTCAGAGAAAGACACATGGCACCTGCTGTCCAGCCAGAAGTTATTTTAAGCTCTTCTAAAAGGAGCCCTGGCATTTAGCACTTCATCTTTAAAAATCAAAGGAAGAGAATACGTTTTAGTGCAAATTGAAACCATAAACATTTACTGGTTAAATCCATATGTGGGTTTTAAAGTGTTAAGGAGGCATCTTAGGATGAAATAAAATCTAAAGTTAACCAAACTTCAAAGCAATGAATTTAAATTGACTGACCAGAGGAGTTTTAGTGTTGTTAGTCTAAATGCCAGTGTTTTATTTGTATTTGATTTATTCTTCATTCATCAGAGGCCATACTCATTGATGTTTTTTCTGTTAATTCCATGGTATCCTTTAAACTCATCTTCCACATTTGCTTTAAAATAGAATAACTGAGTCATTGTAAACCACAGAACAACTCAATTCCTAAAAGTAGCCTCAAGAGAAATCAACAAGAGGAAAAAAATAAAGTCAAAGAACTCTGTTACTTTTAAATAGTCTTATATTAATCGATTTTCTCACAAGAAATTATTTCTAAATTTTATCTTCTACAAACTTTATTGCCTGCCTTTTTTCTCCTCTGAGAGAGAATTTTCCTGTGTGCTGGCTGTCCCAGGAGGTCATCACACAGGTCCCTTCCTGGGCAACGCATTTAATTATAAATAAAACAATGGGAAGTTCTTCAACGGTTCACTGGAAATCTCAAAGTTACAAGTTTTGAATACCACAAACCACACCCAATAGCTTCTCACAGGGCTTGGGGGAGTGTGTGTCACACTTACCAGAAGGCAAGGAGCTAAGCAGAAAGAGAAAGGAGAGGCCAGAGGCGGCAGAAAGCTAGTGAGAGCAGCAGCAACAGCAGGAGACAGGCCCGCAGTTGTGTTCTTACAAGGGAGAGAGACCACACACACCCACACCCACACACCCACACACACACACACAGGCTGCAGGAGAGCAGGGAGGGGGTGTGGCAGGGAGAGGAACGTCGTATGACGCATGAGAGAGAAATACTGCCTAGCTTCAGAAGCTGTCTCCTGGGCAAACGTCTGAGAAGGGAGAAGCAGCTGGTGGATCTTATCAGACTCCTCATGTTTTGTCCTTTTAAAAATTTAAACTCTCAGTTCATAGCCCCTTTGCCAGCACAGTTTTTCATCATTGTTCTTCTTTTGGGCAGAGATGGGTTTTTCTTCTTTCTTGGTTCATTTCCAGTGTAGTTTGTGGCTCATCTGCTTTTTTCCCCTTCTTATGCTAACCTAATTGGTGTTAGGTTTCTTATAGGAATCATGGGAAAGGAAAAACAATGACATAACAAAAAGGAGGTCGTAGAACTACTTTAATTCTTATGTCGTTGTTTGATTTGTTTGTAAAATTTGAAATAAAAATTTAGATGGCTATGTAGGCAGTGGGTTTCGTGTCATCTTCACGTCGGTGGTAATCAGCGGGACCTCGATCCCACATCCTACTCAGGGAATTGCGTCCCCATCTCAGGGGATTGCGTCCACATCTCAGGTAAGCCCTGGGGGAGGCAGTCTGCTTTTTCTTTCTTAGTTTGAGGATTTCCAACCATCCAGCTTTTCCACATCTTTTCTACCGTTTTCAAGCTTTCAACTTGCTCCTTGATCCTCCTTAGAAAAAGCACCTCCTCCTCCTTCACCATAAACTGCCTCTTTGTCTTAACCTACATCCATTCCCCTTTTCTTTCTATTTCTGGAGAATGTGCTCCCATACTTTGCAGAGCAGATTCCTCCCTCAGTGTCTACTACCTTGGGACAGGGTGGGCATTGTGACAGCCCCTTGTGGCAGGCAGAATACTGCCACCTGAAAGATTCCCATACCCTAATGCCAGGAGCTGGTGACTATGTGACTTTACATGGTAGAAGAGACTTTGCCAGTGTGTTTAAGTCAGGGATCTCAAGATGAGGGGACTATCCAGAATTATCTGGGCAGGCCCAATGTAATCCCAAGGGTTCTTATAAATGAAAGAGGAAAGCAGGAGGGTCAGAATCAGAAGAGGAGAGTTGATGACCACGAAAGAGGTCAGAGTGATGTGGGGCCACAAGCCAAGGAATGTAGGAAGTTTCTAGAAGCTGGGAAAGGCAAGGAAACGGATTCTTCTTAAGATCCTCCAGGAGGAATGCAATTCTGCAGACACCTTGATTTTAGCCCAGTGAAACTCATTTTGGATTTCTGACTTCTAGAACTGTAAAATCATAAATTTGTGTTGTTTTCAGGCCGCTACATTTGCGGTGAATTGTTTTAGTAGCAAGGGGAAACTAAAATATTCCGCCTCCAAACTTCTTCCCACCCCTTTCTCCGAGTTCAGAGGAGGCATAAGTTGTGTATAGATGAGTGTACCCAACAAGTAGAGGTCAGGATAAAGAAATTCCAGTGATGAAGACAATAAAGATGTTTATTGCATCATTTGATAGTAAGGTTGGTGAATTAAAATGGGTGAGAGAAAAAGTACTTCCAAGTTAATGAGCTCTTGGTGAGGGACAAGTAGTGCGACTCATACTGGAGTGTAGCAACTGAACCAGTCAGACCTCTCAGTAAACACAAACAGGAAGTCAGCGCTTCTCAAACACAAACAGGAAGTCAGCCATTCTCAAACTCAAGTAACATACAGATTCCTTCAGTAAAATAACAATGTTGAAATTAATTTAAAGAAAAAAAAGAACTCACCTTGACTGGACTGTTATTATATTATTATTTGTACCAATATGTACTAATATAAAAATAGTTATAAACTTTTGATGCTTTAGTTATCATGCCATACAAATTTTTAAAAATATTATTTAGTAAACCCTACAAAACCAATAAATACAATTCAAATTAACATTACTTTTATGTGACAGATAATATTTTACTGAATCCAAATTGCTACTTATAACATGGGTATGGTACTGACTGTCTGTCCTTTTGAGTTCATGGCACTGTCCTAAAATGTGCTTTGTGAAATGACTCAATTTCATCACACCTGGTCCATTCAAATTGTTACATTAGTCTCATTCATATGACCTGCCATAATTTTCATTGGACTAATGCACCTTTTACTGCTTTTTCTCATTTTCCTGCAATAATTAAAATGGTGCTACTTGGAACTAACTTGCTTTTATATACATATGATATGAAGGCACCAAAATGACAGAAATACATGGTGGCACCAAAATGACAGCTACTCCGATGATCCAGAAGAGACTCATACATTTTTAATTACAAGTGAAATGAATACAAACACACAAACTTGTGGCTCCCAAGAATCCATCTGTGGCCTGTTAGAGGCCCAAAGAACTGGAGTAGGTAAGGAAGGAAGACAAATTAATAGAACTCAGTGCTTTATTATAAAATCAACCTTTGAGCTACTGTAAGGAATACGTTTCTTTTTTGAAAATAATATTTTAATTTTAATGCAAATATTACAAGAAAGTATTTAAGACATCAAATGATGCTAAAAAGCTTATCACAAGAAACAATAATTCCTTGTCCTCCCTCCACCCTTTCCTCCAGCCTTGTTGTGCTCCCAGAGGTAATAATAGTAAACTATGGCAGGTATTGCTTCTGCAACTTTATTTGTAAACAAAACGTCTATCTTGCTGTCTGTCAACTCATCAATTTTTGACATTACCTGTTGTCTTCCCATAATGATAGATGAAGACTTAAATTATTTACACCCCTTTTCTTTGCCTCATTTCTCCATAAAACTACATCTCAATTTTTAATTCATCTTCTTTGTTTCATTGTTGAAATAAAGTTCACTGCTAAGTTAGGTAGAACACTGTGATTATAGTTGCATTCTCTTTCAATTTCCTGTTTTTCCTGGAGTTAATGATTACCTTTTCTTTTCATTTGCTTAGTGTTGAGAATACTCTGTCTTCCCAAACTTCATGGGAGCTCTGTAACATGCCTCTCTAAGCTGTTTTCCCCCAGATCAAACCTGTTAGATAAGTTATACATTCTAGCATTTTCTCGGAGATATTACCCACATGCAAACACCCTCAGAGTCTTGATCTCCTGCTCCAGTCTGGGTTGGTGACTTTCTCAGGCTGCCGCACAGCTGTGGTCCCAGCACTTCCTCTGCTGTGATCCTGGGAATTCCCTTTCCTCTCTCCTGCTTCCCGATTCCCATTCTTCCTCTTTCTGGGTTTACTGCCTCCTCTAGTGACACATGTTGCCCATTGGCTTCCTGAGAAAGCAGTTATAGGAGACTGTGTGTGCCTCAAATGCCTTTTTGCTACCCTTATGCTTACTTAGCTGATAGTTTGACTGAATATAAACTTTTTACAAAGTGTAAAAAGATTTTTTTAATAAAACTTTTTTACATTTCTAGCAAATTTTTAACAGTATTATTGCCTTTTAGTTTTCAATTTTTTCTTAAAAGTGCAGCGTTATTCTTATTCCTGATCCTTTGTATGATCTATTTCTTTTTTCCTCTCTGGAAACTTTTAGGATCTTTTCTTTATCCCTGATATTCTGAAATTTCACATGATTAAATTTGATTTGGCTCTTTATTCATTTATTGTGTTGGATGCAATGGGTTTTCACTCTGGAGACCCATGCCTTTAACCCCTTCCCCCTTTATCAGTGTTCCTCACCCTGTCCTCCTCTGGGCCTCATGTGCCTGAGGCCAGAGCCTTTCTGATTAAGCTTCCCCAGAGGACAACCCTCAGGCATCCTGAAAGGGTGGAGAGAGGTTACCTGACTTTGTGAGGTGGAATAGGGGATCCTTGAGTCTAACTGTTTATTCTCCTAATTAAAATCCAAAAACCAATCAAACAAAAAACCAGTCATCAAACGATCCTCCTCTAGTCCCCGCCTTATTACTACTTTTGACAGTATCTCTGCTTGCTGAGTGCTGACCTTGAATTCTGCAGTCTTTTCAGAGTCCTCCAGGCAAATTAGCTTCTCACTTATCCGCGGCCACCCACCCCTATATCTGTCAAGCACTTTCCCTGTTGGATCATTTACCATTACGTCTTTCGTTCTAGTCCTCATTCATTGTGGTTTGGGGTTTACGGATTCAATTCTTCTGGTTTCACTGATGTTAGAGTTTCTGTTTCTGTTTCTCATTCTTCTTGTTTGCTAGTAAATTTTAGAGGAGAAAGAGGTCAAAAAGGTCTTTACAATCCTGTCTTGGAGTCAGGAAGATCTGTTTATCAGTTATAGTGGACCAGTGATGAAATGAACTTTTCCCCAAAATAAGAAGCTCCAGTTTCAGAAATATCCGATAGAGTGTGGTTGTTCTTTCTTTTAGGGATACTGTGAAAGAAATTTCTACATGGGAGGACAGGAGAATTAGATGAAATGATTCTCTTAAGATCTCTTTCAAATATAAGAGTCTTTGAATTCTATACTTTTCTACCACAGGCTTAAGGGAAACAGAAATCATAAAACAATGAAGATTATAAGCCTGAAAATCAGGCAGCTTCCATATGAATTTCATGTCTGTCTTTTAATTAGGCTATATTTTAATTTCTTCAGCTTCAATTTCCTACTCTGTAAAATAAGGACTACCTATTTTATATGGTTGTTATGACACTAACACAGTAAATGTGGTGTATGTAATGAACACATAGTCCATGTTAACGAATTCCAATAATGATGTGTTTAAGTGAAGCCTGTGAAATGAGAATTAATATTTTCCACAATAATAGCATTTTGAAATTGTTGCTGTCTAGAATCAAGTTTAAGCCTGAGGATCTATTGTCTCATTTCTTGGTTGTAGTATATACGCTTGACCCGGGTTAGATCTGGCTTGGGGTGAGGAGCAAATCTTTGTTCACTTTGTTACTACTCAAGAGACATCGCCTCTGTGTTTCTAGAATAGGAGAAGATGTGGGCTGTGGCCAGGCAGAGATTATTTTCAATTAGCCTAAATACAAACCACACAGCAAGTGACACTATTCAATTCCTATGGTGACACCTCTTTAATTTGTACCAGTTGTGTGCGATTG